GCCTTGTGGTGCCTCAGCCACTCCTCCCAGTCCCATATCATCAGCAAACGTGCTGAGGGTGCTCTCCGTCCCTTCTGCCAGGTCACTGGGCAACTGGTCAAACGAGGCTGGCCCCAGAACTGAGCGCCACGCTCACAACCCTCTGAGCTCCGCCATTCAGCCAGGTCTCAACCCCCTCAGTGTCCACTCGTCTAAGCCACACTTCCTGAGCTGCCTGTGAGGGTGTTCTGGGAGGTAGGGTTAAAAGCCTTGCTGAAGTCATGGCAGACAACAGGCACTGCTCTCCCGTCATGTACCCAGCCAGTCACTCCAGCAGAGAAGGCTAGGAGACTGCTCAAGCATGATTTTCCCTTCCTTTTATTCCACAGGCTTCGAGATGACATGCAGCATGAGCTGTTTGTCCCCTTTCTGGGGATGGAGGTGACCCTGATGGGCCTATCATTTCCTGGGTCCATCTTGCTGCCCTTTTTGAAGACTGGAGTGATGTTGGCTTTCCTGCAGTCCTCAGGCACCTCTGCTGGGGAATCAGCGTCCCTGATGTGCTGGCAGTGTTCCCTCTGGCTGGGGCAGGAGCAGAGATTTGCCTTGGCCAGGGCCAGAGCCCTGAAGTGGCACTGCCCGAACAGCACTTTTCGTGCAACAGCGGCTGCCCAAGAGCCCTCGGTGGCTGCCCCAGGGCCTGGCATTTGACCCTGCTCTTGCTGCAGCAGCAGCCGCCCCGGCTCTGTGGTTACCGAGGGCTCGGGACCCGCCTCGGAACCTCGGTTACCAAGGGGCTGCCTCACAGTGGGTGATGGGGGGCTGGGGCCATCCCTGCCTGTATTTCAGGTGCACGATGCTGATGTCACAGTGGCCACTGTGACCCGTGAGGCCAAGGGCACAAAAGGGGACTCTGGGCTCAGGCCCAGTGTCAGTTACCTGATCACGAGAGGAGAAGGAAGAGGAGGGACAGCCCCCCTCTTGCAAGCGCCTCTCGATTCTTTTGAACAGAGAGTGGAGGAGCACCTGGAAGAGACCTTGGTGTTCCTCAACCAGACGACAGGAGACGGCAGAGAGAGACCGGGCTCACACAGGGCTGACCAGCGAGTCAGGGGGCTCTACGCCTCAGGGCTCTGGCCCTGTGTTGCAAACTAGTCTCACTTCTGCCTCAGAACCAGTGAAGGAGCACCTGGAAGAGACCTTGGTGTTCCAACGACAGGGACCCACTACTGACAGTCACCATGTCAGACAGGAAGGAGAAGCCCCTTGAAGGGAGGGAGCAAGGTGAGAGCAAAGTGCCCCTCCCGCAGCCTGGCAGAGGGGCTGTCGGGGCGGGCAGTACAGGTGCCATGCCCGGGGCCATTGTCTCTCTCCCCTCCAGCATGCCTGCTATGTCAGCGATCAGAGGCTGACCCGGACATCTGCGGGGAAAAACTCCAGAAACATGGGATCTGTGCCCACGTGTTCTGCCTGGTGAGTTGCTATGTGGGCTCCCTCCACTTTTTGCCAGGCAGTCCCTGCCACTGTCTCCTCATCAGTGAGTGTCATTTTCCTGCAGTATTTTGCCAGCCTTCTTGATCAGCAAGAGAATGAAAGAGTAGGACTCCAGGGCTTTCTCCCAAGGGATATCCTACATGCAGTCAAGCGGGCGGCACAGAAGGTGAGAGCCTGACAAGAGCAGGGAGATTTGTGCCAGGCGAGGTTTGCTGGAGCTTAGCCCAGACCCCA